CAAGGTGTAGAGCTGGATGAACACAGCAGGCCAAGCGGCATCAGAGGGGGAGGAAGGCTGACGTTTCGGGCCTAGACCTTTCTTCAGAAATTTCTGAAGAAGGGTCTAGGCCCGAAACGTCAGCGTTCCTGCTCCTCTGATGCCGCTTGGCCTGCTGTGTTCATCCAGCTCTACACCTTGTTATCTCAGATTCTCCAGCATCTGCAGTTCCTACTATCTCCCACCACTCAATGTTGCTCAACAACAGCATCCTCTTTGCAAACTCGCAGCATTTTATAGTCACAGATCTGTACAGCATAGAAACAGACCCTTTGGTCCAACATGTCCATACTGACCAGTTACTCTAAATTAATCTAGTCCCATTTGCTAGCATTTGGCCCATATCTCTCTTAACTCTTCCTATTCATATACCCATCCAGATGCCTTTTAAATGTCATAATTGTACCAGCCTCCACCACTTCCTCTGGCAGCTCATACCATACACGCACCACTCTCTGTGTGAAAAAGTTGTCCTTTAGGTCCCTTTTAAATCTTTTCCTTCTCATAAGTGCTGGTTCATAGTTTCTTGGAAGTGGAAGTGGAGTCGCAGGTAGATAGGATAGTGAACAAGGCGTTTGGTATGCTTGCCTTTATTGGTCAGTAGCCAAGGTCTTTTTCCCAGGGTAGGGGAGTCCAAAACTAAAGTGCATAGGTTTAAGGTGAGAAGGTCAGTTTCTGTGCTGTACATCTCTATGACCTTATGCCCTACCCTGGGAAAAGACCTTGCCTATTTACCCTATCCATGCCCCTCATGATTTTATAAACCTCTTCCTGGTCACCCCTCAGCCTCCAACACTCCAGGGAAAATAGCCCCAGCCTATTCAGCCTTTCCCTATCGCTCAGACCCTCCAACCCTGGCAACATCCTTGTACATCTTTTCTGCACCCTTTCAAGTTTCACAACATCTTTCCTATAGCAGGGAGACCAGAACAGAATGCAATATTCCAAAAGTGGCCTAACCAATGTCCTGTACAGCCGCAACATGACCTCCCAACTCCTATACTCAATGCACTGACCAATAAAGGCAAGCATACCAAACACCTTCTTCACTATCCTATCTAAATGTGTCTCCACTTTCAAGGAACTATGAACCTGCACTCCAAGGTCTCTTTGTTCAGCAACACTCCCAAGGACCTTACCATTATGTGTCTAAGTCCTGCCCTGATTTACCTTTCCAAAAGGCTGCACCTCACATGTATCTGACAATGGGCTCACAAAGATCTTTTGTGGGGCTGAGAGAATCCACAGGAAATGAAGGTATGAGTGAGGAAGCTTTACTGCTATTTGGCCAAGTGGAATTATTCAGCCATGTGCAGAGGCTGGTGTTGTTCTCCTTAGAGCCGAAAGGTCTGATGGGGCTGGTTAAAACCAGCTTAGCTGCGGGAGGGCACGAGATGGTTTTCCAAATAGCTGAAGTGGTTGTTAACCTGACAACAGAGATTCAAGGTGATTGGCTAAAGAACCAGAGGCCACATAAAAAACGTAATCCTTCTTCACTGGAACACCCTGCTGGCTGCAGATTCCTGAGCAACATACAAATGTGAAGTACTCAGAGCGAAGGGCTTTGGGGTGAGAGTGATAAATTGGACAATTCTACCAGAGATTACGGGGCACTGTTAATTGGCTGACGGTGGGCTTGATGTCAGATGGGCACAGGAAGTCCCACCTTAGAGACTGGCCAGCCAATCAAAAGCTGGCAGCTCTGCAGAATCTCAAGGGCTCCCTTTCCTTGGCATGGCCACTGCTGGTACTGCAGCTGGTGAGTTGCACTGGATTACATGGAGCGTGCCTGGGGTTGTTGTTGGGAACCAGGTTAGCAGGGCCTGGTGGGATTCAGGGTCTGAGGGGAATGAGGTGGGAGGGTGGGGGGAGGATGTTTGGAGAGGCCCATTATGACAGACCACCCTCCACACCCCCTCCACGCCCACAGCCAGCCACATTGCCTGGGAAACATACCGCCTGCGCAACTTGTCCTTTCCTGCTTCCTGTTAACTTGCAAGGGAAGGGGGGTTTGCCCCCTGGGGAGCTGGCTGTCAACTGAGTGAAACTGCACTGGGGGCAGGAGCAGACGAGGTGGCAGTGGGTAGGATGCCAGCTGGATTTTACACACCCATCCCTCTGTACTCCTCCTTCACCACCTCTTCAAACTCATCAAGGCAGGGAGCATGAACCCCAGCTCACTGTTCCTGGCTCAGTGTCTAACTTTGGACTTAATTCACCCAAACCATAATTACATGTATCTGAGAGAGTATAAGAGTGTGTGAGACTGTGTGTGTGTGTGTGAGAGAGTGTGTGTCTGTGTGAGATGTGTGAGAGTGTGTCTGTCTGTGTGTGAGAGAGAGTGTATGTGAGAGAGAGTGTACATGCGCGTGCGTGTGTGTGAGAGATAGAATATGTGTGTGTGAGACAGTGTGTGTGTTTGTGTGAGAGTGTGTGTGTGAGACAGTGTGTGTGTTTGTGTGAGTGTGTGTGTGCATGTACGTGTGTGCCTGTGTGGAGAGTGTGTGTGTATGTGTGTGCCTGTGTGGAGAGTGTGTGTGAGAGAGCATGTGTCTGTGTGAGAGTGTGTGTGTGTGTGTCTGTGTATCTGTGTGACAGCGTGTGTCTGTGTCTGTGTATCTGTGTGACAGCGTGTGTCTGTGTGAAAATGTGTGTGTCTGTGTTACAGTGTCTGTGTGAGAGTGTGTGTGTGTGTGTGTGAGAGAGCGAGAGCGAGAGGAGTGTGTGTGTGAGAGAGGCTGTGTGTGTGTGTGTGTGTGAGAGAGAGAGAATAAGCATGAGCGTGTCTGTGTATTTGTATATGTGAGAATGTAAAAGTGTGTGCGTGTCTGTGTGTTTGAGAGAGTGAGAGATGTGTGTGTGCGCATGTGGGTTCATGTGTGCCTGTGTTTCTCTGCAAGCGTGCGTGTGTGTGCGTGTATGTATGTGTGTGTGTACATATGTGTGTGCGTGTGCATGTGTGTGCGTGTGCATATGTATGTGTGAGCGTGCGCGTGAGTGTCTGTGTGTGTGTGCGTGTGTCTGTGTGTGAGTGTGTAGAACATGATCTCTTGTTCTAATTGCTTTCACTTTTAATCTGAGGCTCAGTATTATTCACCCATTAATTACGGGAAATCAGCTGGGATTCGGGGACTTGAGTATTTTTGATATTTAATCCAGTAGAGTTCCATTTTCCTCACTGTTTCCATTTGTAAGACTTGATCGAAGGTCACAAAATGATTCATGACAACAGCACTGTGTAATTTGTTACAAACTCATGAGGAATTTGAGATACAGTGTGGGCCAAGAGTGATGTGCTTGGGATGATCAATGGATTTCTCTAATTTCTCCACCACTGGGGTTAACCTGCCCTCTGTAACTGGGTCTGCTGTAGATTCATTAACACAGAACGATCACAATGATTCAGTCAGTAGCTCCATTATTGATTTGATGTGAACAAGACTGACCCTAAACGTTTTACAACACAACTCACATAATTTCTAATCAAACTGTTGAGAGATGTTATTTTGCACCTCTGGGGTTTGAACCTGAGCCTCCTGGCCCCAAACCACCACCACTCCCACCACCAGAACCCCCGCCACCCCGTGACCCCCCTCCCCACCCCTAACCCAGCAAGGTTCTTCAGAGCTCAGTTTGGTTTAATGTATTTGGATTTTCCTTATAATCTCTTGAATAACTTTGGGACAACTTGCAATCTTGAGGCAGAAATGTTCTTTTAGAATGAAATCATTTATTACCTTTTTAGCGTTTTTAACCTGGGTAATTAAAAGCAAATCATCAAACAGGAAGAGATACACATCCAGGAGTTTGGTCGCTCCTGTAGGGAGAGCGCAGTTAGAAACATCTCGGTTTGAAGAACAGAAACAAAAAGTCCGTGATGCGGAAAATCCGAAATAAGAACAAAAACGAGCTGGAAAATCTTCCTGCCCTAAGATAGGGCATCCCCGCCCCAAAGAGAATACAATAAAAGTTCACCTCACAGATTCCTGGGATGGCATGACTGTCCTGTGAGGGCTGATTGGAGTTTAGACGGATGAGAGGGGAATCTGATTGAAATGTGTAAAATTCTGGCACACCCAATACAGGGAGAATGGCTCTCCTGTCCAGGAGTTCAAACAAAGGCTCAGGGTCTCAGGATACAGGGCTGGAGCAGGCCTTTCGGCCCTTCGAGTCTGCACCACCATTCAATATGATCATGGCTGATGTGTGCAATCTCAGTATCCCATTCCCGCTCTCTCCCCATCCCCCATGATCCCTTTAGCCACAAGGGCCATGTCCAGCTCCCTCTTAAATATATCTAACAAACTAGCCCCAACAGCTTTCCCATGGGAGAGAATTCCACAACTCTACCGGCTGGATCATTTCGGACTGAGATGAGGAGAAATTTCTTCTCTCAGATGGTGGTGACCCTGTGGAATTCTCTACCACCGAAAGCTGTGGAGACCAAGTTATGGATTGGTTTTAAGAAACAAATAGACTTCTACAGGTGGCAAGAGTATGGGGACAGGGCAGGAATATGGCTTTGAGACAGAAGGTCAGCCATGATGGTGTGGAATGGGTTAGATGGGCTCATTGGCCTACTCCCTCTCCCATTTCCTATACTTCCACAAGAGGAAGAGACAACTTTTCAGGTCAAAGTTTTGAGAGGTTATCGGCCAGGAATGTTAACGGCGTTTCTCTCGGCATTGGCACTGAGCCTTCTCCAGCTGTTCATTTTGTTCTTATTTGGGTTTCAAGTGTTTGGTGTAAACGTCACTTTCCCCCAGTCCTGGAATGAGTCACACTCACCAGCGAGACTCAGTCGTCCTTCGTGTAAGAGCTGTCTGTTCACAGGCAACAGCAGACCGTCTGCCATGTTGTCTTTGACCAGGTACCGAAGACTCTGGGGAACATTGGAAGATGCAGGGACAATCATGAACCCTAACCATGACTTAGACCCTTCACTGAAGAAGCAAGATGTTACTCGAAGGCACTGCAATTATAACTGTAACCACACGCCATGGCTTTCACTCTCCGTGTGCCCGGTTCATTAACCTTAGTGCCATGGAACCACAAAACTCTGGACAGGACAATGCCCTGACCAGTCTGTCGGGACAGGCTGAGGTACGAGTGGACACAATGTTCTGGTTTGATACTTTCTGCAAGGAGTCGGCTGACATAGATGTTGCTTTCTCTGCAGAATTAGGTTGTGAAACAGTGAGTAGGTAATCAGCAACACTTTTACATCACTCAACCAGATTTTATTCCCTTTGAAGAATTTCCACCAGCTCCAGTCAGTTACAATCCATGATTTCTATTTATACAAGAGGGAACGAGGGATGGGCAACCTTGTCAATGGTGCCTACGACCCATGGGTTTTACAGAAAAAAAACCCTCTATCACCTATTCTCTACCCTCGATTAGAATAATCTCCTTCGTGTATGTAAAAATCCTGCAAGGAAAACATTCGTACAGCTCACAGACGTACAGCTCACAGACGTAACTCTACAGAATTGCAGTTGGACAGGGGTGCTACATAACTATACCTGTCGCTATGTTGCTATCTCTGTTGGGGAAGAGCTCATCATGAACTGTTAACTATATCTTTAATGTGGTGCAACCCCTCTTTAAAAATCTCTAAAGGTGTTCACAGTCTGATTGGAAGAAAGCGGAGCTGATGTACCTGTGATAAACATCGAGGGGGCTTTATTGTGAGAGCAAGCGACAAATCTTTTGTCTGGATGTTAAATTTCAGTTCAATATTTTGTATATTATTTTTAGAAATACAACACTGAATACCTGTCTGCTACAAGCATCAGTCTGAAAAGGATTTCAACCTTAAACTGAACCATCTCATCAAAAGGCAACATTAGGATGAACTGATTTTCAAAATGCCAATTACGAGATAAATTATTGCTCTCCTTCCAACACAACCTCTGGATCATACGTCCCCTGGACAATTAAAGTCAACTATTTTTAGTGGAGCTGATGGCTTAGTGGTATTATTGCTGGACTATTAATCCAAGTAACGTTCTGGGGACCTCGGTTCAAATCCTGCCACGGCAGGTGGTGGAATTTGAATTTAATAAAAAAATCTGGTACTAAGAATTGAAGTTACTAGGACTGGAGGGTTTGAGTTTTCAGGAGAGGATGAATAGGTTTTTTTTCCATGGAGGGTTGGAGGCTGAGGGGTAATGTTATAGAGTTTTATAAAATCATGAGGAGCATGGATAAGGCGAATAGCCAAGGTCTTTTCTCTGTAGAGTCCAAAACTAGAGGGGCATAGATTTAAGGTGAGAGGGGTAAGACATAAAAGGGACCCAAGGGGCAATTTTTTCACACAGAGGATGTTGTGCGTATGGAAATAAGCCACCAGAGGATGTGGTGGAGGCTGGTACAATTACAACATTTAAAAAAGCATCGGGATGGGTACATGAATTGAAAGGGTTTAGAGGGATATGGGCCAAATGCTGGCAAATGGGGCTAGTTTAGTTTCGGAAACCTGTTCTGCATGGATGAGTTGGAACGAAGGGTCTGTTTCTGTGCTATGTGACTCTATGACTATACGACTCTGTGAGTCTAACAATGACCATGGATTTATTGCCGATTATTGGGGAAAACCTGTCTGGTTCACTAATGTCCTTTAGGGAAGGAAACTGCCATCCTTACTGGTGTGGCCTACGTGTGACTCCAGACCCACAGCAACGTGGTTGACTCTTAACTGCCCTCTGGGGCAATCAGGGATGGGCAATAATTGCTGAGCCTAGCCAGTGAGGCCCTCATCCTGTAAATGAATTTAAAAAAAACATTTTACAATGTTGTATTAAGCAGATAAGGGGCAGGTTAGCTAGATGGCTACAATATAGCTCAGAACAACACCATCATTTTGCTATTTGCAGGACTGTGTGCTCTGATTGCTGGATTTCTTACGTTCACCAATTGCAACTTGAAACGGAAATCACGAGCTGTAACTTTCCTTGGAATATCCCGTGATCCTGATTTTAGAAAACGGTTTTGTTTAAGGTAATGAGGTGGACTCTTGTAAAATGAACATAGGAAGCAGCGGCAAAGCTACAGAGACAGGATCCAGTCTCCAGCACTAGCCCAGCAGTTCTCCCTGCATATTGCTGTACAGAATGTGACCTCCAACTGACTGACGCTCGGACAGATGTGCCCATTGATAAATATTTGTTAATTGGGGCAGCCTTGTTTCGTTCATTCATGAAACAATGCAGCATTTGGTCTCAGACACGGGTGGCACCCTGAGCTGGTGCCTTTCTCTGTGGAGTGATGCTGTTATCCTTCCCGTGGATCAGGGATAGCTGGGCTAGGAAATACATCCTGAAACTCAGAGGTGCTTCTGTCTTTGTGAAAGGGCTTCCAGGTCTCTACTGTTTTCAAACAAATTCCAAATATTTTGGCAGGGCAGTGGGAGTCCCAGAGCAGCGAGAATCAGCTCAAACACAGCTGTGTTCGAAAACCATGCTTTGTATTGAAAATTACTATTGATTTATTGATGGGTTGAGTTTTAAAGGCATGAACAACAGCGTTTCAGTGGCTCAGAGCAGCTGCTTCTAAAACAGCTGAAATTTTGCATAATCAAATCTTACAATTCTAAGCCAGAATCAAATATGAGTAAAACGTACACATACTGGAACAATTTATCTCATACATCAAACTGGAACCCCAGTAAGACCCATTCCCAAGTATCACTGTGCTTTTCTCTCCTTTAGGAAAATTATTAAAACAGGGTCAGGCTGTCTGGAAGAATCAAGTATCCCATCGGACATAATCACTTTGGAACACTGTGAATAACCTCACTTCTAGATCCAGTCACAGACCATCCAGGTACGACCTGAGATAGTAAGAACTGTCGATGCTGGAGTCAGAGATAACAGTGTGGAGCTGGATGAACACAGCAGGCCTGGCAGCATTAGAGGAGCAGGAAAGCTGAACCGACCCAAAACGTCAGCTTTCCTGCTCCTCTGATGCTACCTAGCCTGCTGTGTTCCTCCAGCTCCACACCTTGTTACCTCAGGTAAAGCCTGTGTTTGTTTAACAGGGTAGGGGGGAAGCCATTGAACACAAGATTTTTGGACTTCGGCTTAAAGACGAACAATTCCAGCCATGATATCTGAACCATAAACCTCCGGTTGTTAATTTTAAATCTGAGGCAGATACATTTTTGTTAAGCAAAAGGTATTAAGGGATAGGGGCCAAAGGTAGGTATATGGAGTTAGGCCACAGGTCTCACTGAGTGGCAGAACAGACTCAAGGGCTGATTGGCCTACTCCTGTTCCTATGTTCCATAAACCCGTTAAATAAAAACTTGCTCTGATCATATGTGAGTAACTGGGCGGTTGATGAGAGGTGATTATAATGATGAGCCCATTTGTGTTTTTGAGGAACTTCTTCTCCTCATGCCACAGAACAGAAGGAGGAGGTCCCTGAGCAAATACACTGTTTTTCTTCTTCCTTTGTCTGTCCGTCTCTCTCCTTCCTCTCTCTCTCTCTCTCCATCACACAATTTTGAGGCCTGCCTGGTTCTGTTTGACCTCCCATGTGCCACAGGGATTGTTTTAAGAATCAGTACCAGCAGTCTGCTGGACAAGATAACAACTATCCATCAGCATCCTTACATTGTGTTGATGCAGGCTTCAGCTTGACCATCTTGCCCTTGCCTTAAACCACCCAATCTACAATTTCCATCTCCCACTGCCTTTTACTGACCTCATCAGGTATTTTAATCCATCCTCCTACCTTTGTAACTTAAGTGTGTGCTTCTATGGACTCATGATTGTATGCGTGTTTGAAATACAGATTGCTTTCATTATTTTTTTGTGTAGGCTGCCTGTTCAGTATAATGACAACTGTGCACAGCATTTAAACGTGCACTGAATTGGCAAATCATATCTTTAAAAAGCCCCTTTTGCAGTCAGACAAAGAGTGGGGAGGCATTTTACACCAGCTCATCTGATTGAAACAGCTGAAACCCTCACTGTATTGTGGAGAATCATTAATATATTTGGGATTACAAACTCTTTTTCCGAATCAGTGCCAGTCCTCCTGGGCACCCCGGTCACTGGTGTGGGAAGATCCCTTTCGCGACAATGCTGCCTTGCTTGGTGTTAATAGGCACCACCTATTCCAGCATTACACCTCGACACCCATTTCAGTTACCTAATCATTCCCGGGGGGAACATCATTTCAGTTTTGTTTCCTATCCCCATGTGAGATGTTCGATCGTGGAACAAGAAACTTTGGTGCCCAACAGAGCTGAGGGTTAAGTAAGGTTCCTGATGTTTTACTTGAAGTAGTCAAACTGAATTCACAAACCAATCTCTATACCTCTCCCACCCCCCAGCAAATTCAAATCGATGGAAATTCTGACAGACAAAATTCCACTGTCTTGGCAAGTGAGTGTTAAAATGATAGGAATTTTAATGACATTAGGGTAAGTTATGATAAATATAATGATTGCTCTGCTCTGTCTCTAAGTCAATGTCACCCTCCTGAGTACGCACGATGAGTTACAAGTTGCCTGGCATAGAGGATGATCAGGGTGAGGCATTGCCAATCCCGAGCCTGGTACCAACCAGCATCTCCGGCAACTGAGAAAAGAGTTTCAGCATTTGGGAGTTAGCATCCCTCTGCCTCCAAAACCACTGCATTCCTCTGGCCTCATGCGCGGACCCAAACCCGTTTATCCTCCCCCACAACAACTCTCTAGGCCCTAATCTCTTGGATTGCCTTCCTAACCCTAACGTTTCAGCCCCTCCTTGCTCCTTCTATGATGTTCCTTAAAACTTCCCTCTTTGGTCGAGTTTTTGGTCACCTGACCTAAAGTCTCCTCCTTTGGCTCACAGTCAATTTTCAAAGTGAATGTGGAGCATCTTGGGGCATTTCCCTACATTAGACGTGCTATATAAATGCATGTTGTTGTTGTTGCTGTCCTTGATGACCTCTGTGGAGGCAGCTCCTTAACTGCTCTCCAGTTGTGAGTTTCTCACCAATGAGTACATTGATCTGCCCCTGGCTGGGAGGTAGACCATCGTGATTCTGTTGTCCCCGAACACGAAAGAGGGTGGTGGGAAGGCAGAGGGAGAGAGTAAGGAAGTGAAGCTGGGGCCTCGACTGCTGAAGGCACAGTCACGTTTGGGGGATCTCAGAGAGAGGAGAGACATAGCCAGACCTTGGAGAGGTTTCACCATTGAGAATGGAGAATTTTAAACTCAAATTGTCGAACTAACAGATAGTGAGCGCAGGGGCAACGAGTGTCCATTCAGACGAGCTTTGGTTTATAGAATGGTCAGAAACCAATAAATATAGAACTCACACTGATGTCATAGAAACGAAGGCTTGGAGTACACAAGACACAGGCGATAGTTACTGTGTACTGGACACAGGCATCAACAAACAGTACAGGCTCACCTCAGGGAGAAATATCGCCTTATTCCTTTCCCAGATCGGAGGCCAAACGATCATCTCGTGAATCTGCTGGAATTTCTGAATCTCGTCCAACCACTTCACTTTGCCTTCAAGGTCACCTAACACACACAACACAACACAAGAAGCATCCATGAAGCAAGGCACTTCCACATTCAAATAGTTTCTCGTGTGCCCCGGAGAAACTGCCTTTTTTTTCCCGATTCTCTAACTGAGCTGAACAGCACCGGCATGGCCTGAATTTCACCCCCTCGGGAGTGTGGGGGCCTGGCTATACTACCAGTCAGCTGTTTCAGGTGGAAAGTGTGGCACAAGGCATTTGGTGTAGAAAGAGTTAACTTGGGAGGTTTTGGAATTGCTCCACCCTCTGGTATTTAAAGGGCTGCCCTTGGAAGGAATTGGTGGTTTCTAGATAGCCGTTGTAAATTGCAGTTGTGATTAGTTGTTAGTTCTACAGTCTACAGCCATGTCGCAGAGACCTTTCACTTAAGAGTTAACCGCCTTTCACCTGGTGTTAATGCCGTTAACCAGTCGTGTAACCTGTTACCTTACTATCATTCAACCTTGTTAATCAGCTACACGCCCAACTCATCTGCTTATCCTTCGCCAGTAAATAGGAGGGAGCCCTGTCATCAGGGATTATAAAATGTGGCAGTGGCAACAGATCTACCCAAAGTAGATCCTGCCACCATCATGTGCCAGTTCCGGTCACTACTAATACCTGAAAGGGGCAGCTGTTGGGTGGGGAGAGTGGGGCTGAGATCAGGAATGAGGAGCTGCCAACCCTCCCGCGTTTTCCTGAAGTCTCGAGCAGTTGGAGATCAGCCTCTGGGACTGACAGACAGCCCAGGGAAAGAAAAAATAAAGTAGACAAAATATAATTTTCCTTCGCTGCTTTCCTTCACTGGTGGCGAGGTGTCGGAGCAGGAACAGGGGAAGGCTGTTTTGGAGCAGCAGTCCAGAGCAGTCAGTCAGATAATGGAGAGTTGGTTTCCCAATGGCTAAAAGACGGCCAGGCAGCACCAGGATAGAGATGGGTCAGGTGACCAATAGGGGGTTTGTTTGAGGTCATGTGATGCAATCCCCAGCTAGTGTTGGCAACCCTATGTAGTCATCTTGTCTCCTCACTGGGAGAGTGTTTAATCATCTGTGTGTGGGCTGGGGTTGCCGGGGGTGGGGGGAGAAACGGTGTTGTGGTTCTGCATACATTGCTGTATCCTGATTTTTTGTTCATTAATGCGGTCCTTGAACCTCACTCACCCCTTTTAAAACCGGTTCTGCCAGAATGGGGAATTGCCCAGAAACGGAGCTGTACCATTTCAGCATCCCCCCGCCACCACCCACTTTACCTCCCAAAGGACAACTTTGAAAAGTGAGGCTCTAGCAGAAAATGTTACTTTGTAAACAGGAACCTACTCTGAAATGGAACCGTTTCATCCACTGTACCATTAGGGAGTCTGTTCCATTGATTGATCACTCACTCACTGAATCAATTTTTGAGAATGGCCTAGTTGTATTATCGCTGGACTGTTATTCCAGAGACCCAGGTAATGTTCCGGGATGGTGGAATTTGGATTCAATGAAAAATCTGGAATTCAGAGTCTAATGATGACCACGAATCCATTGTCAATTGTCGGGAAATACCCATGTGGTCCTTCAGGGAAGGAAATCTGCCATCCTTACCTGGTTTGGCCTACATGTGACTCCAGACCCACAGCAATGTGGGTGACTCTTAACTGCCCTCTGGGCAATTAGGGATGGGCAAGACACATGAATTGAAAAAAAATGATTAGGTCTGGAGTCATCCTCCACTTCACGCATCACATTATTTAGTCCTTAGAGTTCAGACAATGAACAATTGTTATCTAATCTACAGGTGAACTGATGTCCCTTCTCTCTTAAAGTTGTTGGTAAAACTGAGCTTTTGAAGAATCAAAGTGTTTATGGATCTCCCTTTGTAACAAAGCTGGCAGGAATAAGTGAGTGATTACACAATGTGGAGCTGGAGGAACACAGCAGGCCAGGCAGTATCAGAGGAATAGAAAAGTTGACGTTTCGGGTCTGGACCCTTCTTCAGAAATGGCCCCGTTTGCTTCCTGGCCTGCTGTGTTCCTCCAGCTCCACACTATGTTATGTCTGACTCCAACATCAGCAGTTCTTGCTATGTCTGAGGAGTAAGTGAGTGTGGCCTCCCTCCGATAGAGAATTTCAATTTGTACCGTGCGGCCTAGTTGGTGATAATGTACTCACAGATGGAATTGTCCACCTGTTTGATGATCGCTTGGATTCTCTGTTTCTCCACTGTCTCCGTGCTTCTCTTCCAGAGGTTCCTCAGGAGTAAGGGGTACCTCGTCAACCTCTGCAGGGGCGACACCAGCAAATCGGACAAGTGCAGTCGCTTACACTGTTCGTTCTGTTCACACCACTGTCCCCATGCAAACAAAACAGAGGGAGGTTTCTGAAGGAACAACGCAGTGTGACGAGAAATGTTATGTTAAAAAAGAAGCAAACAATGCGTTACGTGGGATTCACACGACACCAGGTCATAGCCCAACAGGTTTATTTCAAATCACAAGCTTTGGAAGCGCTGCCCCTTTGTGAGGTGAAGTGAAGAAAAACAAACAGGCACAGAAAGATCAAAAGATCATACAAATGATGTAAGTGGAGTGTCAAATAATAAGTCTCTGCAGGTGATCAAAAGTGTCAGATGGTGTGAGTGAAGTGTCAACAGCTGAACAGTAAATGAAGGGGATGACCTACAATCCAATTAATTGAGGCAGAGAAGTAATATTTTGTAATTATCTCTCTGCCTCAATCGTGGCATTCCCCCCTTCACTTGTTATTCAGCTGTTGACATTTTACTCGCACCGTCTGACACTTTTGATCACCTGCAGAGACTTATTATTCGACACTCCACTTACATCATTTGTACAGCCTATAGATTCTGTGTCTGTTTGTTTTCTTCACTTCACCTGACAAAGGGGCAGCATTCCCAAAGCTAGTGTTTTCAAAAAAAACCTGTTGGATTATGACCTGGTCTTGTGTGACCTCTGACCTTGTCCACCCCAGTCCAGCACCGGCACCTCCACATCATTACATGGGAGTGTTCCTGTTTCATCTCTACACCAGAGCAAGTCAGTCACTGGGAATTCTGTGCTCACTCACCTCCTGACTCCCCAAAGCCTGTCCACCATCTATAAGGTACAAGTCAGGAATGTGATGGAATACTCCCCACTTGCCTGGATGGGTGCAGCTCCAACAACACTCAAGAAGCTTGACACCATCCAGGACAAAGCAGCCCCTGCTTGATTGGCACTACATCCACAAGCATCCACTCCCTCCACCACCGACGCTCAGTAATAGCAGTGTATACTACCTACAAGACACACTGCAGAAATTCACCAAAGATCCTCAGACAGCACCTTCCAAACCAACAACCACTTCCATCAAGAAGGACAAGGACAGCAGATACATGAGAACACCATCACCTGCCAGTTCCCCTCTGAGCCACTCACCATCCTGCCTTGGAAATATATCGCTGTTCCTTTACGGTCGCTGTGTCAAATTCACTGATTCCAAAGGGCTGAGAGCCCGTTCTGACTGTAGTGAAAGACCAGCCAGCCAGACCTGTAACAAACTACTATGTGGGGACAACAGGTCTCATTCCTTCGAGTGACATGACTGACCCACCAGTTGGCTCTTTATGACTTTCGTGGTCAATTTTAATAATTCCCAAATTCAAATTCTTGCATTTTGATGCTGGAATTTACACAGATTTTCTCTGAATTAACAGCATGTATTTCAGTAAGATAATCACGACTCTATCATGTTTCCTTCAGCAATAGGTGGGATAAGGAATATATCATCAGTATATTTGTGAAATTCATGTCCCCATTGCTCTGCCAGGTTTCTCATTTTATTTGATTCTCCCCACTCTCAGACAGCACATTCCTGACCCGGATCATTTGTCTTCAGGTTATCTCTGGTTCTTTTGCCATTCACCCTGACATTTGTGAGTGACTGTGAAAAGGCAGAAATTATTGTATCCCTCTTACAACTCAAAGACACTTCCCAGAAATATGCGGAGTCCACCCCTGAGAATGGGACTGGGTCAATAACCAGGGGGAATAGATTTAATGTAAGGGCTAGGAGGCTCAAGGGATTAAAGGAAGACTTTCTTTCATGCAGAGGGTGGTGGCTAACTGGAACTCACTGCCTGAAAGGTTGGTATAGGCTGTAATCATCACAATATTTAAGAAATATTTAGATGAACACTCAAAATGCCGCAGCAGGCAAAGAAAATAGGATTAGAATAGATAGGTGTTTGATGACCGACAAAGACATGATAGACCAAAGGACCTCTTTCCATGCTGAAAATACTGTATGGGTCAGGCCCAGGTTGGTTGATAGAGACAGGATCCCTTTTGTTGAAATAAACCCAGTGGGAGATTTAAACCAATCCACCATATCAAAGCTCATTTCTTCTTGTCAACTCACGAATGATACAATCAAAAGGATTGTACAACTCGACATGGGGGAGATTTGATCTCACAAATGATCCAGTACCGTCACCATACCCTTTGGAAGGTAGAGTTTAGAGAACCAGAATAGGTGTCATACTTTGAGAAAGATTCCAAAGTCCTCCCTCATCTTCAGGTTATTGAGGTAGAGATTGGCTGAAGCATAATTCAGGCAATATTTCTGATGACTGCAGCACACACCCTCCTGAAACTGATGGAAAACATTCGCACTTCAGAAAAGAATTGTCTTCACTGCACTTTGTAAACATATGGAAGAATTCATTAAATTGGAATAAAATACACCACTGGTTCTCAGCACCAGATACAGAATCCCTACAGTGTGGAAGCAGGCCATTCAGCCTGTTGAGTCTGAACAGCATCCCACCCTATCCCTGTAACCCTGCATTTCCCATGGCTAACCCACCTAGCCTGCACATTATGGGCAATTTAGCATGGCCAATTCACCTAACCTGCACATCTTTGGACTGTGGGAGAAAACTCACACATACACAGGGAGAGTACAGACAGTCACCTGAGGCTGGAATTGAACCTGGGTCCCTGGCACTGTGCAATAGCAGTGCTAATCACTGAACCGCTGTATTGCCCATATTTTACTGTTGGAAGATGAACAATGTTGTGTAGAATAAGCTCAAGGTGGCTGAATGATCTACTCCTACTCTAGATCTTCTCAGCCAATTGCAAAGTGCTTCAGCACCAATGCTTCCTGGTCAGTCAGGCTGTGGGACTGGAGGAGCTTGGTGATATTTGGAGCGGTCAGGTCATGAAGGAGTTTGAAAAGAATGTTGACTAATACAAGAAAATGATCCTCGGGTCTGTTCCCATCTAATCCTTGTGAAAGTCTCAAACTGAGACCAATTGCTTAGCCAGATATCTGGCTCTCAGTGTTTTTGGCACTGCTCTGGCAACTAACCAGTAGAGACTAGATGGGCTGAATGGTTGCTTCCTTCACTGTAACTTCAACGGTTGTAACAACAGAGCGCAGATACATTGCCCAGATAATGTACTGTTTAAAGAAGAACTGGAGCTCTCTCCTCCATCTCCACCAATATTTATCCCTCAACCAATATCAGCAGAACAGATGATCTGGTCATTATCACATTGCCTTTTTTGGAATATTGCTGTGTGAAAAAGGGCTACCACAATACCCCAGCCTACAACAATGCCATTTGCTAGAGTTCTGGCACACTGGGTTCACCAAAGGTGCTATGTAAATGCAAGCATTTTGTCCTTTTTCTGCACACAGGGTACTGAAGAAGTGGCTATCTCAGTCCCACTGGTGGTTCTATCGAGTATTCCAATGGGGATCATTTTGAGGGACAGTGTGAACTGGATTTCCATTGTGATCACTAGGAATGTCCCGAGTGATGTGTTGCCAATTTGGAATCATCCATCTGACAGGATCACCTGAATTAAACACAAGAGAAAGGACATCCTGGTTCTCCCTGACCTCCCTGTCTCATTGGGCTCATTTCAACCAGGTAGCATTAAGGGAATTCTGATTGGGATTTCTGGAGCACTCGGAGTAGCAAAACCAGTCAGGGCTGCCCTTGTTTATTGGTCATCAGAGTGACCTTTCATGGTGTAGAGACCTGGAGATCACATTGAGGTGGATATCTGAACCCCAGTGTTATATAGATCAGGGAAGAATGGGTGAGAAGCTGTGATCCAGCATTTGATCAAGATCCATTCTATCTACAATCAGTGGATTACACTACTACACTCAATCCCATTAAAAATCCTATCTGGAATATATTTAGTGGCAAGTACCTTTGACAATACAGCAAGGAGTGACGATAATGTCCAACAGCTCTCTACCGCATCCAGGAGACTGGTCAGAAAATCAAAGCTCACCTATCATGACCAGAAAATACACAAGAGTACATTACAAATGTAAGGGACGTTGCACAGTAATGCATTTTTTAAGCCCTATTTAAAATTTAAACAGCACAAACCATTTTTGGATCATGCGCACCATTAAGGAGCCACAGCAACCCCTGTATAATTCAGCGTCAATGATAGAAGGCTCAGAATGCACAAATGTGTAACTTACAAAGGGTCCACTCAATGACCACTTGCATCTATAAATGTGGAGAAAGATTTTTCACTAATGGCCTTCAGGGGAGGCCAGGGCTCTGGGCAAGATGCTGTTCAGCCTCACACCAACACAGTCGATCTTAAGTGGCCCAGGAAGCCACTCCAAAGCAACTAGTCACTCTCTTTCCCTTCTCCCATCCTCATTTCTGAGGATTGGAACTCCATGGGGTTGCTCCTCAATTATGGACACAGCACTGCAATGGTTTGCTATTGACAGCTAACCAGCAGACTCTCCCACTCTTACTGGCTGTCTTTGGGGGTTATATTAGCCCTTCCTAACAAACCACTACCCATCACCCTTTCAAGGCAACTGAGCTTCAGCAATAAATGTCGACCTTGCTAGGGATGCCCACACCTTGAAATCCAGGAGCAGGACTGACTGCTCCACCATTCAATAGGATCATGGCTGATCCTCTACCTCAACACCATACTGCCGTTGTCTCCCCATACCTCTCTCTCCAACATGACTTGGCCTCCGCAGCCTTCTGTGGTAGAGAATTTCACGGGTTGCACTGGCCTCTGAATGAAGAAATGTTTCCTCATCTCAGTCCTAATGGTCTACCCTGCATCCTGAGACTATTTCCCTGGTTCTAGACTCCCTGACCCAGGGGAAATATCCTCCCTTATGTCCAGTCTGTCTAGTAATTTATTGTCACTTGTATTTTTACAAACAAATACAGTGAAAAGTGTTTTTAAGTTGCCATACTCCAGTGCCATTTAACAACAGAAATTATGTACTAAATATAAAGAAAAAAATCATTAAGAACAAGCCCGTCTTTGTTCAATTCCGAGATCCTGGGCTCCCAAGGCCAAGGGAAATACACACTGCAGAAAAGCTGACATCGAAGCCGCTGAAAGGAATCCAAGTCTGGATTCAGCTCATCGACTAAGCTGGCCGTCACGCCATTGGACCTATCAGCAAATGGCCACAATGGCCATGAGAAACAGGCCTGATCCACAATGGTTTCATTGGCACAGCAACTCTAGAAGCCTTCTTCCTCCATTGAAGTCACCAAAAGGGATGTCAAACCAGAAGCAGGATTCAGAGAGATTATGGGAAACCTGGTCCAAGAGGTGGATTTTGCGCACTGTCTTTAAACAAAGGGGGAGGGAAAGCTGGAGGGGCTTGGGGTGGAAAGGATTGGGGGGGAGGGGTCCGAGGTGCTGCCGCCAATAACAAGACAAAGGAATGGGCAGGACAGGTAAGGAATTAAATGTTGACAGCAGCCAGCACAGTGCCTCATCAGGCAAGACCTCATTTCATGACAACACCCCCATGTCAACATCCTTCCAAAGATATTGGGTCAGTTTCAGTGCAAACAAAACCAACAGCTGAAATGTGCACCCATTTAGATTAAAGTATTTTAGGCTCTGATCAGTCCCATCCCTTCTGCCTACGGGCCTTATAACTGACATCTCAATGACTGTGCATATTGCCTGTGTATTTATTCCTGGTTTAATACAGTCTCACATCCCTTGTGCCCCAGTTACCTTGGACAATTCGCTAAGGTTCGCAAACAGTCTCCAAGGGTCAATGTCTACAAGCCATCCTTCACTCTGTACGTGTTTCAGTGTGTTCAGGAAAACCTTTAAAATAAAAACGAAACATGAGAAAGCTCCGGAAACCAGAATGTCAATGCCCACACGTTCATCAATAGAATGGCTCTCCTTTCCTACTTGTCAGTCTACTGTTTGATGTACGATTGACTCAAAGAGGACCTATTCCACAGCACCCTGCCTGTCCTACACCTAAACTACACAATAAATCATTATTTGAAATACAGAATTGAAGTATTGTTGAAAAAAGTCACATTTTATCAGAGCTTTTCATCTTGCACAGGAATACCAATTCAAGGGGGTTACCAACATTTCTACTGTATGAGAGGAGAGTGCTGATTGATTTCCAAGCTGATTCTGATTGGTAGAGGCATTGCCACAGGGAGCAGTTAATAGTGACTGACAGTAAAATGCCACATTTTGTTTCAATTTCAAATTAGGTGAGTTATCTCTGATAGGTCAAGCCATGAAACCAGCACTAAAATTTATATACCACATTATTCACTCTGTAATGTGATATGAATTTCAGTGTTGATTTGATGCTAGGTATATCAGGCGTATATCCCAAACAGATCATATCAAACAGCATGTCCCTTCACTGTTCACAACATGTAAGCTGCTGATCATACTCATCCATTCTGCAGTTGCAAAACATGCAAAATGTTGTCCAATATTAGATCTGATTATGAAATTGGGCAACATTTGCTGGATACGTTTGAGTGTGCAAAGATGTATCTTGACTCCCAATTTCGAACTGTCAGTCAGGTTCGCAATGTGGTGCATTCGCATATGTTGGAAGATATTTGTAGTAATACACAGGACCTACTGCTGTGCGGACAGAAATAATTTTGTGAATGCCAGTTTCAACTCACTTGTGACATTCATCCAATGATTCATGTCTTAGGACAATGCCCTAACCAATCAGAGTCAAACTGCGTGGTTTGAAAACCAACAAAGCTTGGCAGTTGACTGTCAATCACCATCAGCTGTTACATTCTTTGTGGCAATCCTTCTACAAATGAGAATCCACTTGCTAAACAATCAGCACTCTCCTCTCGTCCAGTAGAAATGTTGGTTTTCTCTTTTTTTGCTATTCTTGTAAATTGTCCTGATGAGGGAAAGATGAAAAGCTTCAATAAAATGTGTCTTTCTTCAACAATACGAATATGTTATATGTGATTTCTCCCATTTTGTAACCTGAAAGCACATTTTAGGAGTTATTTTGGAGTGCACAGCAACACTGATTAGACCGCTCAAAGGCAGAACCCAGTAAACTGCTGTCAGTGTTTGAAATACAACAAAGAACCCCATTAACTCCAGCAAAGAGGACCATCATTTGAAACAGGCCATTGTATCAGCTGCCCAGGAGAATGTGGCTATAACTGATGGTGCCCCAGGGTTCTGGTAATGAAACTTGGGGAGACCAGCCCCAATGTGAAGCTGCTACTTACCCCTCCTTTAATGTCAATGTTGGCCTGTTCACACTGACCTCTCACTGTCTACATCTGAATGTGAAGAGTAAAACAGCTGTGCCAGAGGATGGGTGGCAGTGCATGGGAGCCACTGTGGTCATAAATGGAGAGGGAGAGGGGAATCTGGGGGAGGGGTAATGGGAAACTGGAGGAGGGGTAATGGGAAACTGGGGGAGGAGTAATGGGAAACTGGGGGA